GCCACCCCTTTCTATGTGTGTCAGTTACACATTTCTAATAAAATCACACTTTGCACCAAATTGAACACTCAGTTAACGAGAAATTTCTCTGTTTTTAGGTTGTTGGCATGAAGTGGAAGACAAGGAGGCCCGTTCCAAGCAGAACGCTTCTGTAGAAGGGGTCTCCCAGGTCAGGATCCCCAATATACATCCTTCTACTGAGAAGACTGATACCTGTGACATGTGTGGCCCATTTATGAAAGACACTTTGCACCTCCATGAGCATCAAGGAACACGTCCTGTGGAGACGCCCTACACGTGTGGAGCATGTGCAAGGAGGTTTCGGTTCAATGCAAACCTCCCCAGCGCCAGAAGGAGCACAGTGGAGAGAAGTCCTGCGGAGGGACAAGGACAGGGATTCATCTGTGAAGAGCTCTGCAGTCTCCCTATCAGAGAAGCCCTTCACGTGCAGGGAAGGTTGGAAGGATGTCTCAGGCAGCCATGCCCTCCGCCAGCGCCCGGCCATCCACAGCAGCGGGAAGTCACGCAGGAGGACAGAGTGCAGGGAGGCCTTCCCACATAGTTCCCGCCTTGGGCGAGCCCCAGGAGTCCATACCACAAAGAAGCCCCTCAGCCACATGAGAACTCACTCTGAAGGGACACCATTTAGATGTCCAACAGTTGTAGATTCCTTAGAGGAGAAATCAGCCCTTGTTAATGACCAAAAATTCCACACTGGAGAAACGTCTCGGGTGTGTAAAGAGTGTGGGGAGGCCGGTAGTTACCCATCTAAGCTGAGGGAGCACCAGAAATGTCACACTGGAATAAAACACTATGAGTATAGTGACCGTGGGAAAACCTTCAGCCGCAAACGCACACTTATTCATCACCAGAGACTTCACTCAGGAGAACGGCCTCATGAGTGCAGTGCATGTGGGAAAGCCTTTAATAACAGGTCACACCTCACTCAGCCTGAGAAAGTTCATATTGGAGAACGGCCTTTTGAGTGCAGCGAGTGTGGAAAAGCTTTCAACAACAACTTTGACCTTGTTAAGCACCAGAGAGTTCACACTGGAGAGTGGCCTTTTGAATGTAGTGAATGTGGAAGAGACTTCAGGCAAAGCTCCCACCTCCTTCGACACCTGAAAGTTCACACTGGAGAGTGGCCCTTTGGGTGCATTGAGTGTGGGAAAACCTTTAGCAGTAGCACCACCTTCATTCAGCACCAGAGAATACACGCCAGGCAAAGGCCGTATGAGTGCAGCAAATGTGGGAAAACCTTCAGCCGCAGCTCCAGCCTGGTTCAGCACCGGAGAATTCACACCGAGTCCCCTGGGCGCGGGGAGCCCCCTGGGCGCAGCGCTCAGCCCGGCAACTGGGTCCCTCACCCCGTGTGAACCTCAGGACCCAACGCGGAAGAAACAGTCCGTGCGAGGAAGTCCCGCCCCATCCCTGCACCGTCATTGGCCACGGACCTCCCAGAAACGCCCCTCCTGATTGCTCATTGGCCAGCTCTGAGGGACGCAGAGCGAGCGGCTTCGAGGCGACATAGGTCGGGTCCATTGACCAGCGACGCCAGGGCGTGCTTTCCGATCACCTAGGCAACGACCAAGCGGCACCGTGATTGGCTCAAAAAAAGGGTTGTGGGCGGCGAGCCGGGAGCCAATCAGGCGCCGAGGGGCGTTTCC